AGGCTGGTGGCCCGGTTCCAAGGGGGGGGGGGGGTGGTAATACTAAAGCATAGGATGACAGATATATACTCGAAAAAGCTTCCAGGAAGGTTATTGGGGATGGAAGGGATGTTGAAAATCACCTTCAGATGACGAGTCGCACTCATGGTGCCAAATCAAACACAAGACACAGCTCTGGAAACCTGAGATAGGGTCAAAAGTATTGGCGCACTTGAAAATTTGGAGTTGGGGGAGGGGCCCCATTTTGGGAAGCTTTCTTGAGAGGCCACAATACATGGACATGAAGAACACGTGGCCCACAGGCGCGGTTGCTGTTTATCCCGGGTTCGATGGGGTTCAGGTCAGGGCTCGGAAGTTCAAATGTATGTCTACAAACCATACTTTGTGGACAGAAGCTGAAACAGAAAATGGCCTTTCCCAGCCGTTCCCACAAAGATTTCAGGTTTTGCAAGAACAAAACATCCATTTATCCGTCATAGATGGGGAGCCACAAAAGAAAAGAGGCAAAATTCCCGTCACGGCTCTGTAACTTACAGTGAACTTGCTATATAGCTCATATGTGAGGAGAGGATTTGGGAGCTCCCTGAAGTACAGCTTGCATAAGGAACCCACACAGTGGATGTCCTGGAGGTACACTTCCTTTGTAAGGTCAGGGCACGCCTCGGCGCTGAATTCCTGTCTGCTCGGGCGCGCACACACACACACACACACACACACACACACACACACACACACACACACACAAAGCAGATAATTGACGGTGAACGCTTGACATGATCCAGTCAACTATATTTTTGTTGCAGTGATGTGAGGAAAGTAAGCAAAGCCCCGCCCCGCACGACTCGTCTGACTTTTGACGTTTCATGTGACCCAATCTAAAACGGGGACTGCGCAAGAAGCGACATACCTGAGTCGCTGGATGTTTGAGGTGACCCCTGACAACCTGTAGATCCCATGCACAATCCCGTGCTTCTCGATGAACTCTGCGCATTTCCGTAGCACCTGAGGGACTGAAGTGTAGAAAGTGTTTGTCTTATTTGCCGACACACGGGACACCTTTTCAAAATGTACTCAGTGAATACCAGTGGCATTTCCGGTCATGAAATGTATCGGCAAAGTCATGCCGCACACGTTGCCTTGAACGTTACGGGCTTGTTTTCTCTCCCTTTGGGCTACTGATTGTAGGTGGCCTTTGACAGGAAGTTAAAAATGGTTTGTTTGTTTCAGAGGAAGGTTGACACACCCAGCCCTTGTAGCGGGTATTACTTACGACATTTCCTCTAATAGAAAACGGCTACCAGTGGCCGACGCGACTTTCCTCACTTACAGCGCATGCACGTTCAGCTCGAGCCGCTTGAGTTGGGACTTTGAAATCAAACTACCGAAAACGGTGATCCCTCGCTTTTCTGAATAGAAACGTTGTTGGAGTCCACGTCCATGTAATTTGTGTTCCGTCTGACCAGCAGACTGTTCCAACTTTGAACTACGCCCTCACTTGCATGCATCTCACCGTGAAGATAGTCTCCGAACTATTTTTGGATGCGCTTTGTCTTCCCTCATCTCCGTCTCAAAGAGTCTTCCAGCATGTGTTTGACGTGATTCTAGGTTGCGTGCCTGCGGCGAAAAGCTGGACGATGACCAGTGTCGCGGCCTTGATTTATGTTCTCTGTCTCTATACTCGGACGCCAACACGGGACACTCTTAGCTTCTGCTTTGGCATCCATCTATATTTGCTTTAAATGTGCACATTTGGTTGTCTTTAGTCCAAAGGCCCAAACAGACTCGTGCAACTTTTTGTCACGTAACGTCTTAAAAATGATTCAATGTTTGTGCCTGCGACAGGTGTCAGCTTTGCGTCCGAACGCCGGCGCACTTGCATTCGTGAAATTTTACATTCAGGATATTGTTGACCATACAATGCATTGTTGGGGCTTTTATTGATTTATGTTTTTGCACCACTGCATAATTTGGGGGGTTGATTATATTAGGTTAATGAATTAAATGTTGGTTTGCCTTTTTTTTTTTTTTTTTAAATCACTGTACTTCCTATTTCATGGAGGATGGTGTGTGGTGCAGTTATAATTCTGGTGCCTGTAAAATTTCATTGATGTCAGTGACTTCATGTTTGAAGGATCTTTTTTTTTCATGAAGTCTTGCACCACTTCTCAAGAAAGTTTTCGGCATGGACTTGCTAATTGTGCGTTTGTTGACTATTTTAATATGAAAATCACTGTTGGACACCAAAGGTCATTCAAGGAGCAACTCAAGTGGTGAGGATTTTGCACAGTATTGTATGTGATGCAGCCGGCGCATCTTTTTACGGTCGCTTTTATACTCCTGATCAGCGGTTCGATCGAATCCCAGGGGTTCGGTGAATCGGTTTCAGGCTAAGATTCTCTTCAGAGAAGATAATAAAGCTGAAGACGCACTCAAAACAGCCCATTTTGAGCTTGGTTGTGGGTGGACACTACCGGTACATTGTCTGCAGAAAGACGAGGTCTCGTCATTTCGTCATGTATCAGCTCCTAGAGCGGGATTACACAACAATGAAATAGCTGCTTCTCATGAAACCCCAAAGAAAAGTGTGATGAGGAAATACAGATAAAAACGATGATCAAGCAATTGAGGACTTTTTCCCTTGTCCCTTATTCATCTACGTTATTGCTGATATCATTCCCTTTATTCTCCATCAATGAGATACTGGATTAGAGGTTTGTGGTACTTCACAATCTTTTGATTTGGATAGAACCAATCAGCCCCCCCAAACCAGCAAGCGGCCTACTAACATTTCGGCTGACAGGCACCGTGTGGTGATCTCCAACTATTTGATTAGATTTTTTTGCTAAGAGGACTCAACCTTGAAGGTCTGCTGTTCTACTTATTCGATGGATTCTTTCAGATCAAAGTCAACTATTTAAAAAAATAAAGAGTATCAATGACAGAGGTGGACGGCGGTGTCACTGTACCCCCCACCCCTCGCCTCCACTTCCTGGACTGAATGCTCCGCCTCTCACACGCACCCCCCTCAAGTCCTGCTCATTAAAGTTACATTCAAAGTTTGCTATGGTGTTCGTTTCCTTTCCCTCTCTTTGTGCATAACGTGTTAATCCCCAAACCTTCATTTAAAAAAAACAAACACAAATTTTCATTTGGCACAATGGAAATATTGCATCAACAACAAAGGTCCCATCTATGAATAGTTGACCATCCTGTTCTTTGTGCCTCTCTCCGTTTCCTGTAGGCAGCAGCGAGGCCCCGACGGCGAGTCACAGGGACTCTCCGTCACTGGAAGTAAGTGAGTCCAAAAAAAAAATGAGACACAGCCACACCCAAACTTCACCAATGACCCAGCGGCTCCAGGCAAAATAGTCGGATGAATGGCAAGTTCGTTTTTTTAAACGCTTGAATATACACACACGCCACACGTATGGAGCCGTTGAACAAAGCCCATTTTGTCACTTGTAAGTTCTTCACTTCTTGTCTTTTGTGTCATTTGGTTTACGTGCCCATAGAGTCTTACACGTGTTGTCCAATAGCATCCTGAATCTTCGTGTTCCGACGCAATTTTTTTGAAAAAAAAAAGGTTCTCGTGGTTGAATGAGAAGAAAAGCAAAATCTTACCATCCTGTCCTGAGTTCTGGAGATGTTCCGTCAGGTCACAGCCGAACGCATTTTCACTTCCTTTCGTCTTGGACTTCTGCTTGGTCCCTTTTTTCTTCATGTGGTTCCAGTTAACGGTCCAGATGATTAGCAGCTCCTACTAATGGTCGCGATGAATCCATATGACCCCGAGCAAGGGCGAGCTTGCGGATCAAAAAGCAGCCGCGTAGAAGTCCCCGGCACTCTTCTGTCAAATGTGCTGCATCCGCTCACATTTTGACCGAGCGCACGACTGGAGGCTGAGGTCTGAAGTGACGTCACTTGTTTAAACGGTCAAACGTTAAGGGTGGCATCGCCTCACAGGAATGACACAGTTGACACTTTTGCTTTGCTGAGACGTGGCAAGCGGCCGCTTTATCTGTGAAGGACTTGCAGAAACAGCATTAGAATCGCTCCGTTTCCTGTTGTTGGGATCCCCCCCCCAACCCCTCCACCCCCTTCCACTGGCCAGTCCTCTCTACTCCTTTCTATCTCCTCCTCTTTTCCTTCATTCCACAGCCTCCTCGTTCACTGGCTCCTCTGTAGCATGCACCGACCAATACAAGGGAGGCCAATCATCTCAAGAACGTTCTATTTATAATCCGATTTCCCCTTCAACGCGTTGGGAGTTGTGCGCGTGAACTCGTGGCCCGAGTTGTGGCACGGTTTGGAAGAAATGTTGAGGTTCACCGAAGGGAGACGGTTGTCAAAAAGCACAAGTACATTTTCTTCACGTTCGCCAAAGTTATACGGGATGGCTGCCCTGCGCCTTCCTGAATGCTCCCAGTGTATACAATTTCCTGTGCAAAGCGCCCAGGCTGGAAAACAAAAACAGAGGGGTTCTGAAGGAAGGAGGGAAGTGGGAGGTGACTGAAGTGAGGGCTTGAAGGGCACAGATGGGAAATGGGAGGTGGGCTGCAAGGGGTGTTAGGGTTAGGAGATGGACACATGGTTCTTGTTACATGCATTTTTTTTTTTTTTTTTAATCTTGGACCAAGTGGACTCCAACGAAATGCAGACCACTTTCTTCCACTCTTCCAGGCATCCTAAGTGGATGTCATCACTGCATTCCCACTGGTTGTCATGATTGACTCCTCGTATCCCCAGACTAAGTGGCTTTACAGGGAAAATTACACATCCGCAAGCCCAAGTCCCATATTTCCGAGGTTTGAAATCTCTCAACCGTATGCCAAAAAGTCATATCTTAAGACCCGCCTTGCAATTGCAGTGCGTTGGCGCAGACAGGACCACCTACCTCAATGATTTACTCAATTGGATTACAAAGTGCAGTATGACGAGAAGTGAAGCAGAAAATCTACGTTAGCATCGTCGGACCGTTATGGATCCTTTGCTGATCTATTGCTTTGTGTGGCCACTTGAGCCTGGCAAACAGTATCTCCATTTGTTTCGATCAATCAGAGCTCTACATTGACAGGCTATTATCAGTCAGTTAATCAATCAATCGGGGTTGGAGCAAGATCCCGTATGTTTGCTCTTTTTTGGTCGTACTTGAGACACTTGGCGTAATGCTGTGTTTTCAGCTGTGTCAGACATTTTGGGGAGATTAAATGTGACGCTCCTCACACATTTATTTATCCGTAGAAGCATAAACATTCAATCAACCAATTATGTTAAAAATCACAAGTAATCAAACCGGATGCCAGCGATCGCCAGTCTGCTAACTTGCAACTAGCATGACAAGCTAACACGTCGGTTGAATTTTCACTCAGTGCGCCCTCTTGTCAGACACTGAGAACAAATCAACAGCAGTCAGAATCAAAGTCCCTTTTTCACAAAAAGATGCTCCCGCGAGTCAAGTGAAGGACAATGGGACAAACACAAAAAGTAGAAATCTGGTAGCAGCGCTAAACATGAGTTAACAAAAGCGAAACTTCTGCCATTCCAATGGCTACGTTGTCAACTGACATAACCTAATGATTGTTGACAATAATTGTGAAAAATCATGAAAATATATTCGAAAAATATCCGAGGATGAATAACTGCGGTTCCACACCGCTCCAAACACATGCAAATTGTTGAGTCAAGGCAGACATTTTGATCGAGCCTTTAAATCTCTTTCAGCTTTCTACGCATAGCACACATCGGGCAAAATGGTGTCAACACTGCCTGTTTTATTAAATGTGCTCATGTGTGTATCACATGTGAGCTTGATGACGAGGCCGGGCCTCTGCAAGACAAAGCTTCTTTCTGCACCATAGGAAGAGGACATGACATCATTCTGTCCATACAAAGCCTCAGACATCCTCGCTCGCTCTCTGCCCCGTTTAAAAAAAAAAATAGCCGAGAGGTCACTGGAAGCAAATAACAAGCAGCCTTCATTATAGAGGTCATTTCACATTTTATTGCTGTAATATTTAGCATATGATACATATGAGGGAGTGGAAACTATGTGTAACTATTCTTGTGTTGATGTGAGTAGAAAGACATCTACACACGGGTAACTTCACAGCAGCAGGATTCTGAAAGCGCAAGGAGCATTTCACGCGCATTCTAAATCCAGTCGGGATAGGAATGCATGCGGTTGTCTGTCTCTGTGTGTCAGTGATTGCTCGCTTATCTCCACTCAACTGCTTTGAGGGGCCCCAAGTGCCAATCATTATACCCTGGATAAGACAGAAAGATGATCCTCCAGGAAAGGATGATCAACTTCTCAGTTGCAAAAACAAGAAATTCTACTGTGGACACTCATTAGGTACATTTTAATTCTTTCTGTAATAGATAAAAACTTAAATCTGCCATAGCAAAGACGTTTGGTTCGATCAAAGTGCTATTTATCATATTTTTTTTTCCCTCTCGCTCTGCTCCAGAAGCTAAATTAAACAACATAATCGGTTAGTGTACCTAATGTTGTGCCTGGCGGTATATACTAATTTTAGTGGTTGATGTCTGCAATCGTTTTTTTTAACCTTCACTTCCTGTATCGTAGACTAAATGCAGCGCAGTTTTGTGATCATGTCGGAAAAGTTTTACATTTCGAGGGATGGATGTGTTTGAAAAACAAACAAAAAAAACTTTTGTGTATCACAAATAGAATATATATATATATATATATATATATATATATATATATATATATATACACACACACATTTATTTTTTTGAACAAGCACGATTTGAGCCTCGAGCGACCCTCTTCAACAATCATGTGTGACTGTGCATATTCATATGAAATTGTTTGTAAAATTCTGAATCGAGTATATCGCGAAGGATTTGGGCCAAGTTTGTGATTTTAGTACGCTAAATGCTGCCGAATGTACAGGACAGGCATCCGTGTTACTTCTGCCTCCTAGTGGCACCATCCGTACACTGCACCCAACCGAACCATTTCAAACTAAAAAGCCATTTTTATAATTTCAAGATGTTACTTGTGGCTGACTTCACCCGAAAGTAAGACCAGAGATCATCTGACAATATGAAAATAACAGTTTATTAGACATTTCCTTCACCAGGAAATATGTCATAATGAATCTTTTATCAAACTCAGCGCCACTTGGAAAAAAAAAATCCACCAATGACACTCTCAAATAATGAATTGTTTTGTTATGACTCTAGAAAGCGTAATTTCAAGAGAAAACATTTGTAGCAACGTTGGTCTTTCACGGTTGGCAATGTGTCTGAAATCGTCAGAAGGTGCCATTCATGTACTTTGCAACCAACCTATGAATGGAAGAAAGTTTTGATGGTCACAAAACATGCATGTTGTAAACACATAAGTAGCCGCGCATCCCTTCAAAGATATGATATCATATAATGCGAGTCCCATGACTAACCATCATGCAGTTAGTTCTAACGAGAGGCTATTTTCATTGGTCACATTGAGACACCGTCAAGGTATTCTTGATCCCCCACCACCATTCCATTTTCTTGCAAAGCAAGAAGGCCCTTTAAAAAAAAATGTAATAGTTGCACACAAAATTCCATCTTTTCAGTCCGTTGAACATGGCAGGACAAAATTAACTTTGAGGAAAAGGCAGTCAAAGAATAATAATTTACTATTTTAACAATAAAACAGAAATTACCATCTTTATCTGAAGACAGCCAAAGACACTTTTTTTTTTTTAAATGATCACATTTTGGAAATTGTTGCGCATAACTAGTGTTCAACATGATCGGTCGTGTGTGTAAATAAATACATTCATATATTTCAGCTGAACAGCCCTTTTTATTGCTTAGCTCGAGGGCATTTTTGGCCTGCAAAACAAACGCTCCTTGAATATCAACAAGTCACGAATAATGTTGAATTTAGTCGTGCAATAATGTCGAGATGTCTTTTGCCCATCCAGTATTTCAAAATATGGCTCGGCCCAGTGTTCACTTAACCTTTTGAGTCCGAACAATTTACATTTCCGCCAGACATTTGTTCCAAGATATGTTTGAGCAATGTGGACTTTGAAAGAATATGTCAATGAAATGTCAAAAAGTGCAATCCAGCCCCCCCCCCCCAAAAAAAAAGGAACTGACTCTAATCACATTCAGTACTTTCAACCTCATGCAGTCCCGAGTCCTGCATGGACACACCGTGAAGGAAACGTCAAAAGATAAAGGGAACACATCAATGTTTGGACACTCCTCAGCTGCACACGGAAGGGCCCTTTCGCAATGTGTTGTTTGACAAATGTGGAGCCCAACAATAAAGCTCAAGCGTTGCATTCGATTCGAGAAGGTTTGCTGAACTGTTTCGTTGCCGCAGAGAGGTCAGCTTGAGATCCCCAAGTGGGATATTGCAGAGGTGATCGCGTTTGCTCTTTCACTTCCGCTTCTTCAGATGCACTTGCCTGCTTGATATCATGTGCAAGTCACAATGGCATGTGGTCGTCTTTTCACTCCACACTTTCAAATGGCATCACAATGAGCTGAGCTCATTTGAAACAAGTCTGTCCTACGGCTTCCCGATGTCTACGGTCACGTTGATATAGAGCGGCAGCCTCTCCACTGATAAGGTCTGATATTTGCAGCTATTCAGTCCGTCTCTTTTCCAAACTCGTGACGTTTGTCTCAACAGCTTTATCCTGAATCAGGGGAAGGGGGGGGGGGACACAAGTCAATTAGGGGAAAAAAGAGAGATTGTTGTCCAAACACAATCATGACAAACGACCGACCTGTCCTTGTTGATTTCGTTACCGCTGTCCCGTTTGTGAAACACCATTGTGTAGCGTGCAATGTCAGCAGGTGGCCGCACAATCTGCATTTTCTGCAGCTCCACCCTAAGAGTACACATGCAAGCCATTAAGACCCTTTTCTATTGAGCAGTATAACACTCCTTTTTCTTTGTTTGTTTTTGTGGGTGATGACACGACCAAAAAAAAACCATCCCCGGTATCAAATCAATCTGTACGACACGTCCAAATGAAATTTGCCAGACCACGCTGAACAGTACTGCTTGATGGAAACAAAAATCCAGATGCGAACCAGTTTATATCTTCAAAATGGATTTCAACGCTTATTTTTTTTTTCCGCTTCACCTATTTCGTAGGTCGTCATCTTCTCCACCCCAACCCCAGTAGGTGTTTGCAAATCCATTCACTTTACGAAACTGCTTTCCGCTCATGGCCGTGACTCCTCCAAAGTAGCCTTTGTAATGCAACCTGTTGGGAGGGAACACATTCATCTTAATACGAGTCGGGTGATGTCAGAACAGTTCCAATAATTTATTAATATCAGACCAGAGTGGGCATATAGGAAATGAGTCTTTTTTCCAGGAACTCACTTGTATCCGGTGGCATTGCGGCCAACTACCAGATGTTTGGGTTGCGAGTCACAGACGTAGAGATTGTGATCATTTTCAGGAACCAGGTCCACATCATGGAAAATGAAACAGTCCCAACTGTAGTCTTTCAGCGCCTCCAAGTAGCCCACGTTCAGCAATTTGGCACGGTTAAAAGTGCCATCACCGGCCTTTTGAAAAACACGCACAAGACGGCAAAATCAGGATATGCACAAACTACACGCAAATTAAAAATGTAAAATGAAAAAAAACGTCAATGTTGACCTGCTGGATGACGTAAACAGCATAGTGGAGTTGCTGCCTCTGCAGGAAGGGGTGCAGGTGGTGGAGCAGATAGAGGAGGTGCCGCTCTCGATTGCGATGGGGAATGAGGATGGCCACGCTCTGTCTGGCTGTGCAGTCCCAAGGCTGGTAGCGGCCTTGGGCCACTCGCTTGTTCTCGCCCTCTACCTCCTCCAATTGTAGAGAGGGCTCAAAGTTCAGCTTCACCGCTCCTTCTGCGGAATCAGAATTTGCATCTTTGTTGCTAAATCATTCAGCATTTTGGAGTGGAGCCTCACCATACTTGAGAACTGCCTTCATGGGTTATAAATATGAAGTATAATGACGAATTCATGATGGGGGGGGGGGGGGAAATCGATGAATATTATTACAGATGGGAAAATGTTTTGATTGCGTTTGAATTGAACTATGCCTGGCAGCCTTCCATCTTTTCATTCTTTTTACTATATTTATTTTGTCACTTGTAAGCAACAGCTGACATATAGCAGCGCTACCTTTTACAAATTTATGGCTTACTGATGAGCGTTTATAATATTTGGATAAGTCATCCAGCCCGGGACAACGCCCGAGATTTTGGGCGCTGTAAATTAAAAAGGAAACTAAATAAATAAAAATCACCTCTAATCATTATTTAAATCTACACAATAAAATGCGATCCAATACTGTAAGACTCTTACAAGAATTGTACCTTTCAAATGATAATAAATCTCAGTTTTGATTGACACTTGCAGAGAGGTGTTCACTTCACGGAAAGACTATTATCGTTGCAGGAAAGGCAACCAATGCAACTCTTAAGATGAGTCGAGGTGTCTGGCAGTTGAAGGAGTTTCAACCAATGTTGGTTTTAGACAAAACAAACAGCCATTAGTTCTCCGCCTGTCGAATCATACATGGGCGTTCACTCACGTAGCAGCGGCGACTCCTTCGGACACTCTGCTCTCGGCGTCGGTATCATTAAGGGAACCGCTGTCGATGGCCCAGAGTTTGCCACATTCTGCGTGTCCTCTTCTTTAACGAGAGGTAGCATCGCCACCGAGAGGGCCAGGGCAGATTTAACGCTGTCGCCCGAGAGCATGGAAATCCACGCCAGCACAGACAGGGAGAGAAGCAGCAGGAAAACGTACTTGACTCTGCACAACATCTTGCACCCAGACGAACAAAAGCCCATAGCTGCGTGACGATGTTCTGGTTCTTCTCGTTTAAAATGTGTCCTTCATGGCTGGGGCAATCAGTTCATGACAATGAAGCGTGCCGCTGTTTTACAGTTTCCGTCATGTGGTTCCGTATTGGGGTGGACATCCAAGGTGTAATTTGGGGGAGGGGTGGGGCAGGTAAATCAATATTAGCTGTGAAAGAGAGAAAGATCAGATGTTAAACCAGAGAATAAACTCCACAAAGGCTCCTTGTTGCCTTAATAATTAATTTTGCATTACAAACATGAGATGGAATTGTCTAGTACCGGTAATCATAATATTGAGAGAAAAAAATCTTAGTCTCATCATATACAAAAAAAAAAAAAAAATATCATACTGTTTTCTATCACCTTGACAAATCATCTAATTGCGTAACTTACCGGTACTCTAAATTATGTTATTATAATATTAAATGGAGTAGACAGCACTATACGCGTCATTCTGTTCCGAGTTAATCGAACTTGTAAACACATTGATAACATGAAGCTCCACATTAACAATCACAACAATCCAGGTAACGTGCAAAGTCAAACATAATGTCAACAATTTGGATTTCTTACCTTTACTTACTTAAAGCGAGCTAACGATGCGTGTTTTTCCTCGAAGTCATCTTCTTTTCGGGACGGGTCGAGCTAACAATGGCTAACTCCAAGAGCATCCCAGCATAGCACACTGGCCACGACTCTCCTTTGATTGCGTTTGTAATGACACCAAATAGCGAACGGACACCTCATGAAGGTGACATGTCTTTATTCCTCGAGCCGGATGCTCTCCACGTTTGCACGCCACCCCCCACCAGTAAGGGCAGGCGCATTCTGCGGTAGGGTCAGGGTCGCGTCAGCTACGTCACTTCCGCTTATGTCGCGAATCAAATGCAACTTTCACGTGAAATGCGCTGTATGTGCAACATACAGCACGGTGAAATTTCTTCCCTCTCAATCAGACAACAAAAGGAGCCCATGTTGTCTTTTTGCCTCGATTGAAGCATCGACGAGTGACGTTGACGCTGCCGCGACCCCTGCCTCAAAATGAACTCGTCCATTCTCCAAACCCCAAGTCGTTATCTCCCTTACTGGTTGTTATCTCCTCAGTAGCGTCACCCACTCGATCCCGAATGTCAGCTAAGAATGTGCAATTGTTTCAGTGAAAGTCAGTGCTCTGCTTTGGGTTTTAACTGATTTGTTGCCACTTTCCGCGGCTCCCCAGTTTGACGTCTGTAAAGTTAACCAAAATACGTGCACTTCCGGCTTAGGGCTTTCACAACGAAATGATTCCTGATTTTACTGTGAAATGTCAGGATGAACTTAAAATGCACTATCACTTCCGAAAGTGAATTTAATTTGACCTCCAAACTTCTGAATGCACATCCAACTGGTTCCAGTGCGTGGCATATTCACAGCAGTTATTTAATCGCTGAATTGACCAATACTTTCTAGTTGTGTTCGTATTTGCTCAGTCCTCTTTGTCGTGATGTTCACATTTTGATGAGATGAAGACCAGCGAGGCTTGAAACAGGCTATTCTTGGAAGGAAGTGGCCACCAAGTTAGAGAATCAGCCAGTGTCATAAGCAGGTTGTAAGAGAGACACAGTGGAAGAGTCACAGAATGGCACAGAAGCACACGATGTTGGTAGAGCCTGACTGAGAATTGATTTTTTTTCCAGGCCAATTTTTGGAAGAAAAAAATAATTGGAAATGTTTTGGATTAAACAGTTGCTATACATTTTTCTTTACATTTTAAAAAATATTTCTAGCCAAGTAGTGGTCAGTGTGTCACAAGAAGTTTTTTTTTTTTTTTTTAATATATATGTAATTACACTGGTACTTGTGAGGCCTGAGACAAGTGGAAATGCCTTTCAGTCTCAGATGTGAACACCATGCTGGTCTCGGCTGGACATTGATTTGTTATTTGGTGGGTCTTTAGTTGTCCAGCTGCTCTCAGCCTGTTTTAGGTCAACCCTGATCTTGAAAATCTCAGCATGTCTTCTTCAAAAGCCCTTTGCCCTCCTTACAAAAAAAAAACAAAAACCTAAGAAGTTCAATTTTCATTACAAGTGGTGATAGTGGTTATTTCCCCATCTTTGAAGGTGATGGTTAAATTCCGTGAAGACAGTCGAATAAATAAGGGAGGGGGGATTCGAGCGTTCTCTCTGGTTCAATGGGTCATTTTACTGTCATTAAAAAAAAGAGACAATAAAGCTTCACAGGTCCTTCACAGTTGCTTGGGTGGTTTTAAACAAATAGTGCCATCCCCAAAAGTGTTCTTCCCTGATGCCTGGATGTCCCACGGGTCAAGGCTGCCTATGGTGTCGGCCTGTTGTCTGCATCGCATTTACGCGTGAGACACACATCTGCACCGTTTGTCCTTGACGCAAGCGTGTGATAAGCAAGCACAGAAAGTTCTCTAAAATTCGTCCAGCAAATTCTCTCTTGAGTTTTCCCTGCATCCTTACCATTCTTGTCAAAACAATTTTCAGATTTTTATTGCATCGTTGGACTCTTTCGTGACTTGGTAATCGAAACCTCATTTAAATCGAAACCAGTGAGGGTCATGATTTAGTGAAAGAAAAACAGCTTTGTAAGAGACGAACCAAATAGTTATTACTGGTTGTCTGAGTGGGATGTACTTGCAACATTTTTTATTATATACCGGTAGCCTTTATTTTTAAACTTTATAGCCTTATGGGGTTTGACGAATTGATAAGATTTTTTTGTGGTCCATTAAGATTTGTTTTTGTGTCTATTGAACAACAAATGTAGGAGACACCATCTGTCTTCATTGGGAATGATTTTGAATAATTTTGGGCATGAAAACCTTTTGTCAGACTGTAAAGATTTAAAAATCTCTTTTTGGGGGGCCGATTTCTGTCAGTAATATACCGATCAAATAAAAATTATAATCTTGCTAACACACGAACAAACATACGCACGATCATTGCGACCCTGTTTTTGGAATCATGTTTTAATACAAACACACATTGTATTCAGCGCGCAGCGGTTAGTCAAATTAATGCTGAAAGTCAAAAGAACGTTCTGTAAATTACGTACAATTAATTAGGCAGGCTGACATTTAAAGTACCCCAAAAAAGGTGTCACTAAAAGGTGGGCGATCACATTAAAGAACCTCTTCTCGACTCCTCAAAGCTTAAAGACAACATGACTGTCCCGCTGCCAAAGCTCACTCTTGGCTTGTGCCTTCCGGAGGTTGTCTCGCCACCGTCCCCGTTGGTCTTTAGGCTGATGGAGGACGACGGAGAGGAGGCGGACGATCCTCCGATACTGCCGGACTTTTTTCTGGACACGGTGCCCTGTTTGAGCGTGGCTTTGGCGGCCACTTTGAAGGCATGCGCCGCCGTGCTGCACCTGACTTCCTCGATGGTGTTCCTGGAAGATTTGAAGAGGATGATGTAGACCTTGTTGAAGAAGATACAGGCCAACATCCCAAAGCTGGATGCCAGAATTGCAATGACTTCCACCGCTGACACAAACTTGCCGTAAGTACTGAAGTAGGCGGGGATGAAGGAGATCCAGACAATGAAGAATATGAGCATGCTAAAAGTAATGAACTTGGCTTCGGTGAAGTTTTCGGGAAGTTTGCGGGATTTGAACGCGAAGAAGAAACAGATGGCCGCCAGGAGGCACGTGTAGCCAATGAGAAACGCAAGAGCCATCTCGGAGCCCTCATTGCAGGTGACGAAAATAATCTCGTCGATGTCGTGGTTCATATAGCTCGACGGGGGAGCGTTGTAAAGCCACACCACGCATATCATAACTTGGACAAACGTGAAGAGGAACACCAAGAGAAACTGCAGGTTCAGTCCCCACCATTTCCGATGGAAACTGGTCGGGATCTTGGCCTCGAAGACCAGAAGCACTCGGTTAGTTTTGACGAGGATGCAGGAGATGCAAAGAACAAAACTGACACCGAAAGCCGGTTGCCGCAGACGGCACATCCAATCGCGGGGCTGTCCGATGAAGATCAGCGAGCTGGAGAAACAGCAAATGAGTGAGAAGAGCAGCAAATAGGACAATTCTCGGTTTGTGGCCTTCACTACGGGCGTGTTGCGGAACTTGATAAACACGCCCATGACAAAAGCTGTCAAGACAACGCCCAATACTGCGCATATGGTCAAAGCGATCCCAAATGGTTCGGTCCAAGCCAGGAACTCGATTTCCTTTAAAAAACAGGAGGTGTGGTTCCCACTGGACCAGGAGTTATTGGGACATTTGGTGCAAATGCTGGCATCTGCGTGGAAAATAAAATCAGGCTTAGAATTTCCACCTTTCAGGAAAGCAACATTAGCGAAGAAGATTCCGGCGTACCTTTGTGGTTGCTGTACTCTCCGTCGGAGCACTCGGTGCATTCAAAGCAACAAGTCGGCATGCTGTCTATGATGCCCTTTCTGGTTCCAGGCTCACAGTCCTCGCTGCAGTTGGAGAATGGCACCTGACAGATTGGAAGCAGACAAAAGTCGGATAAGAGTGAGCAGAACTGGTCAAGCCTCTACAAATTCAGCCGTTCCCGCATTGTCACATCCGTTTTCGATCACGGTGAGTGAAAGAGGCGATTGCGTGAGCCATCCTGCCTCTGTGCCCCGGTGTAGAAACACAAACCAGATCTGGAACTTCCGTTCCAGACTGAACGGAACCGTTGTGACTTGATTTTCACTAACCGCAGACAAAAGATTGCGATTGGTATGTACCTCAAAACTGTATCCATTCCAGAGAATCTTTGTCTTGTCAATGACCAGCTTGCCTCCCCTCTTTGAGTGAATATTATAGTATCCGACCTCCTCAAACACCACAGAACCATCTTCGGCAGACCTGTGCCAGTTGATTATCGTGTAGTTTGCTGCCACGTCAAAGTTCTCGTCAAAGTGCACCTTTCCTCCCACACTGTTGGTATATTTCAAATGTCTGAGCTGCTTTAGTACCTGTGGAAGCACAAATTTGTGTTGTGGTCAAACGGGCTTAGCGTCTCGGTTTGTTGAAAAAGTGCAACGTTTTACCTGCCACGCTTCCATTTTCTTGATGTCCGCGCAGGAGTTGTTTGCAAAAAGTCCATGTCCGGGTTTACAGGTTAGGATGTTCTGCAGGGCCTGCGCAATGGAGTAAACTGCTACGTACACGTTGTATGAGATACGGAGGTGGGTGTAGTCCAGGTACGGTGTCTCCACACTGGTGATGTCTTCCTCACCTGTACACCAAGGCCTAAAACTTGTGCTGCCGTTGTCACTTTGGTGACGCCGCCGACTGTCTTTCAGATAACAGTTAAAAGTTTCCTCCCAAAACTCCCGGACAAATTCATTGTGAGCGTTTTTCTTTGGTTGCACTTGTTGCAGGAAGTCTTTAAACTCGGGTATATGTCCCCCCTTCAAGGCGAAGCCAACGGTGCCTGCCACCACATCCAGATATTCAGGTTTGGCAATGAGAGAGGAGCTCGCCCAAGCTTCACTGGCGATCCAAATGCGGTCCGTGATGTTTCTTCGGACCATCTCTTTGATGAGCGGCTCCATATCGGGCCCGCTGGCAAACACCACGATAACTTTGGCGCTCGAGTTTTCGATCCTGTCGGCCAGCGCTTGGATTTCGTGGTCTTCCATGTACTGAGAGATGAGTTCGTTGAGATGGATGCAGATGTCCCTCTCCTCCATCTCCTTCTCAAACTTTTCGATACCAGGCCGCCCGTAGTCGTCATCCGAGGCCACGGCAATCACCCAGTTCCATTGGAAATAGTCGATCACATCCGCCATCGCCGTAGCCTGGTACTCATCCGAAGGGATGGTTCTCATGAAGGACTTGTATTGGTTCTTGTTGCTTAGGAGGCGACTGGACGAGGCGTAGCTGATCTGAAACACAAGAGTTTACGCCACGCACGGACGAATAGATGGATCGATAGATCGAGATCATTTTTACAATTTTTTTTTTGCAGGACACCTACAAAGACTTACCTGTGGAATATAAAACAGCCCCAGTAGGTTTGCCACCGCTGTGGAGACAGCAGATCCCGCCGCTCCCACGACTGCGATAGTCGACGGGATGTGGTCGGTGCAGTTGCAGAACTCATCCAAATTCAAGGAGTCGATCTTATTCTGGGCCACGAAACTGAGAGTGGCTTCCAGTGCCTTTGACACCGTGTTGCACGTGTCAAAGATCCTGTAGCCCAATGTGATGTTGGGCAGGAGAGTGCTGCTGTTGTTGATCTCCTCGATTGCAAAAATCATGGCCTGCAGCCAACGGAAACCACGGAAATTAAACCTGTAGGACACCACATAACATGCAGTAAAAACGACTTTTCGCATGTGAAACTGTACACGAAATGTAATGAGATCCAGTACGGGGGGGCTGTAGTACGATTTCCGCGTTCGCTCAGCGGGTGGTGACGTAGACATCAGGAAATCCAGATTTGGATCTCTGTTGGAACGTCTGTGCTCGCGTGAATGTATTTTTGTGTGGGTGTGTGTCGTTACCTTATTTGTTTTTCTGTGCATTGCGATGGATTACCGACTAATCAAAAGTGTAACTCGTCTCTCGCCAGATGTCAGCTGGGATATGCTGCAGATACTTGTGACCCGAATGACGACAAGCACTATTTGAAATCGGAATAATGTGTAATGTGCTGGTCTACATCGCTCTGAACCTCGCTCACAGAAATGAGCAGATTGACACATTTTATCGGCCAACTTTTCTCACGCTTGTTCGAGTGTATTCAATGTTGTGGCTTGTTTTGCGTCGGGTGGGTCACCTGACGCATTGTGTGGACTCCGGCCGCGCCGCCAGGTCTTGGTCTTTGGATGCAACGCCAAAGTGAATGGGAAAGAGTCCTCCGAGCAAAATGTCACCAGTCATCTGTGCTCGTTGATGAGGCCCATAGGTGGACATGACACGAGTGCATCCGAGAAGCAGCAGGGAACACAGAACAAATGGCATCTTTTCTGCCGGGAGGGTTTTTATATATATATTTTTTTCCTTTTTCGCTGAAGATACTGCTTTATCTCAGCTCATCAATCTGCTTGCTGCGGTGCCGTGCGATGTTCATGTTCACGCTGTGGAGAGTGTTCTAGAAAGAAAGAAGTGTTGACCTGAGAAGAGGAGTCACGCTCGAACGAGCCTCCTTCCTCCAGCCTCACACTGTGGCCAGTCAACCCAGTCATCATGGAGAACAGCCAAAAGCGGGCCGCCTCGCATCTCGCTAATACTGCTGGAAAAATGCTGGGGCAGAGATGTGATAATGAAGTACCCTGAGATTGTTTTGGGTTGTGTTGGCTTTTTTTTTTTTTTTTTCCTCTCAAAGGCCACTTTTCAAACAACAGCCGGATTTGAAACCAATTTGTGACCAACGGTTGGTATGACTTTAGTTCAACAAGCGATATATGTTTTCCAAGGTTTTTTTTTTCAGCTCAAATTTCCTTGATCACAAAAATAACAAAATACATCATGATTGGACATAACATTAAAATGTGTGTAACTAATGAGCTTGCAGTATTTTCCCCTGACAAGCAAGCCAAAAAAAAAAAAAGAAAAAC